ATAGATAGAAAGATAGATGATAGATAGATAGATAGATAGATAGATAGATAGATAGATAGATAGATAGATATGGATTTAGATAGATAGATAGATAGATAGATAGATAGATAGATAGATAGATAGATAGATAGATAAGAAAGAAAGAAAGAAGAAAGAAAGAAAGAAAGAAAGAAAGAAAGAAAGAAGAAAGAAGAAAGAAAGAAAGAAAGAAAGAAAGAAAGAAAGAAAGAAAGAAAGAAAGAAAGAATGGAATAGAATTCTTTATTGGCCAAGTGTGATTGGGACACACAAGGAATTTGTCTTGGTGCAAATGCTCTCAGTGCACATAAAAGAAAAGATACATTCGTCAAAAATCATCAGGTACACCACTTAATGATAGCCATAGGGCACAATAAGAATGGAATGGAATGGAATGGAATGGAATGGAATAGAATAGAATAGAATAGAATAGAATAGAATAGAATAGAATAGAATAGAATAGAATAGAATAGAATAGAATTCTTTATTGGCCAAGTGTGATTGGACTCATAAAGAATTTGTCTTGGTGCAAAAGCTCTCAGTGCACATAAAAGAAAAGATACACTCATCAAGAATCATCAGGTGCAACACTTAATGATAGTCAGAGGGTACAATAAGCAATCAAATCATACTAGGAAACAGTATAAATCATAGGGATACAAGCGACAAAGCTGCAATCATACAGTCACAAGTGGATGGAGATGGGCGATAAGGAGTGATGAGAAGGTTAACAGTGATAGTAGTGCAGACTTTGTAATAGTTGAGGGAATTGTTTGTTTAGCAGAGTGATGGCATTCAGGGAAAAGCTCTCCTTGGGTCTAGTTGTTCTGGTGTGCAGGGCTCTATAGCGTCGTTTTGAGGGAAGGAGTTGAAACAGTTTATGTCCGGGATGTGAGGGTGTTTTTTTTAAAAAAAAAAAACTTCTGATTTCTGGCTGTGTGGTGAAATGTGATTGCCCTGCAAGAAGATTTCTGGGCATCTATTCCTGGAGAACCTCAAGTTTCTCCAGCTTTTGATTTGACCACTTGACAGCTAGCAAGGCTGAAAGTGAATGTTTGTAAGTTATAAGATTCGTTTTGTTGAAGGTGTTCCATTTGTCGCTTTCATTTTTTCACAGTTCTCCCACCTCAAAGCGAGTGCTCCCCTAATACATAACACCACCACTGTTCTGCACAACCTGTCTCCAATTTGGTGCCCTCCAGATGTAGCTGGACTGCTTTGTTGGGAAATTTTGTGAGCTATTTGGTGGTGACAGAGTGTTTAACTATTTTGAGACGATCGAGGAGCACAATACAGCACACAGGCTTTGTCATTTAACAGTGGCTTATATACAAGACTGCTATATACATACGTATACGTGTTAGGCACATACCAGGCAAACCAGCCATCTTCATTCCTCTGCACTGAGAACTGCAATGGAGATAGAACAGGAGGAGAGAGGGATACGCCCTCTCGTGGCCGCCCTTATATAGACAGCTTCTTAAAGTGGCAATAGCCCTGTGGACCCCATCCTCAGTCTTAAAGCGGCAATAACTTTGCTGACTCATCCTCATCGTATCAGCATTTACGGCAGCCTTACAACAGCTGGTCAGCTATTAAATCAATACCTTGATGGGTGGAATTATGAATATAGTCACTGCTACAAGTCACAATCTCTGATGTTATTGAGAAGATTGCTTCTCTCCTTGATTAGCTTCCATCCGTTGCTTCTTCTCCTGCCTTCTGGTGTCGACCATAAGTTGAGCCCCTCTTCTCTGTGACTTCCTGGTGATAGAACAGTTACGTTCATGTAGACCACAAGTAGATCCAGCGTGGTGGGTCCCCTAGGGCTGTTCTCTCCTTGTCTGTGAAAATGAACATTGATTTTGCTATCCAACATGCTCTTTTTGCTTGCTTGAAACCGCCATTGCCCATTGTGTTCTTCTCTTGCTTTGCAGCGATGACGACTTTGACATGTCCAGATATTCCTCCTCGGGATATTCTTCAGCTGAGGTGGGTCCGATTCCATCCTTTTGCGCCTCATCAAGAAGAAACTTGTCTTTCTCTTAGTCTACGGAGATTCTCCGTCACCCAGGTCACGGTTGTCCCAAAGAAGCTTCTTCAGCTCTGACTGGATGGTGGGGAAGGGAAGGATTTGTACTCCTTGCGGACAGCTGGTCACTTGCATCCTTTTTAGAGGGTCGTTGAGGCCACTTGGAGGTTTGTCTGTGTTCCCAGGATCACCTGAGCGGTGCAGATGGGTGTGGAGCCTTCTTGGCAGCAGGATGTTTTCTGCCCTAGGTCCCTTCTTTGTTGAAGACAGGCACACGCTGTTGCACCACTCAGGTGACTCTGAGGACACAAACAAACCTCCAAGTGGCCTCAATGACTCTCTAAAAAGAATGCAAATGATGCACTGTGGATCGGTATAAAAATCTCAAGGGCTATTGCTATCCTATAGCAACATAGAGTGGCCATTGGATAGTTGTTATAGATGGTTATTGGGTTGTTCTCATATCTAAGGAAGTGACCATCTAATCACGTGTCAGGGCTCCGACAAACCACCCCCATTCAAATCAAAAATCTCTAGCCACATCTGTCGGAGTAAAAAAAAATATGATTTATTAGTAGTGACCATGTCGGCGTTACCTGGGTGTATTTTCCGTAACATTCAGGGCAACTTCAGTTGCACTGTGACTGGGTTGATGACCTTTACTATGGAGAAAGGTCCCATGAACTTTGGCCCCAACTTCTTAGTTAGGGAGCCTTCACCCAGGTAACGCCGATATGGTCACTCCTAATAAATCTTTTTTTTATTTTATTCTGAGAGATGCGCCTAGAGACTTATGATTTGAATGGGGGTGGTTTGTCGGAGCCCTGACAGCCAGCCGACTCTAAGACACATCATTCATTTCCTCCTTGACCCTGATCTTCCCCCCACTACCTGAATGTATATTCTCCAATGGGATACATCCATAGCTAAGAGTCATCAATCATGATCTCCAGTAATAATCTTGTGCGCCAACAGCTTCAGCATTTAAGGAATGCACTACTTTCCCCCTGTCATGCCCCTGGTGGAGACTGACTCCGAGGGAGAGGAGGAACAGCCAACGGAGTGGACGTGTGGCTCCGGAGGCTGTGGAAGAAACTGGGGAAGGGCAGAGGCCGGCTGGGCAGTTAGAGGAAGGACCCAGGCCCATCCCCTCTTCATCCTAGGGCACGCAGGGAGGAGAGGATAAGGGAGAAACGTGAATGGCATGGTCTACGGGGGAGGAAAGGGCCTTGATCCCCTTCATGGGCTGCAGCTGTGAGAACTGGTTAAAAGGATGGACATGCGTATGCCAGTGCTGGAAACTAAGCGTGAAAATATTTCTAGTCTGTCCGTTCTTACCTGAGTTTGGCGTCCTTCCCGGTGTATGTTCCGACATCTGTGGACATCTTCAAGCCCTTATCCTGCCTTGTCTCATTAATCGCTTCAGTGTGGCTTGTGTTGTTTTTTTTTCTAGTTATAATTTATAGGCATTTTTAGTTCAAACGGCATTTCCTCCTTTTTGTAACTGTTTGTGGGGGAGTTTTTTGTCTCCAGTCAAGGATATTGGGAGGTTTAAAGCCAAGTTGAAGGAATTAAAGGGGCTTCACCTGTTTTTGTGCCTGTGGTTATTTTGTAAACCACCCTGGGTCATCACACCCCCACTCCCTTTCTGCTGGCAACTAAAAAGACCAAAGAAGAATTTTTTAGTTGACATCATGAAGATTAGAATCCTTTCTAACGTCTGGAATAACATTCTGGAATAGGTGCCTTTCGGGGGGGTGGGGGCAGAGGGGGAGGAAGACTCCAGTTGGACGGTTGGTGGGTTGACCTCTGGTCTCTTTGTCTGCAGCAGATCAACCAGGACTTGAACATCCAACTTCTCAAGGACGGCTATCGGTTGGACGAGATTCCCGACGATGAGGACCTCGACCTGATCCCGCCCAAGTCGGTCAACCCCACTTGCATGTGCTGTCAAGCCACCTCTTCCACCGCCTGTCACATCCAGTAACGCCAGGCCGAGCCGAGGGCGACCGGGCGCGTTCCATTATAACTGTAAAACTTTTAAACAGCCATGGCTTCCTCCTATGGTAGGACCTCTTTGTGTTCATAGAGTCAGGAGAAACCAAAAAAAAAAAAAGAAAGAAAGAAAAAGAAAATTAAGAATAATATTAATAACCATTTTAAGATCCTCTTCTCATTTTATATTTTTATTTTGGGGTGTGTTAAACCTGCAGGAAGGGAGCTCTGCACAGGAAAAAGTCCGTTTATCTCTTGGAAAATCAAGGCTGGTTTTAAGAATCGCGCTTAGGGCTCCAGAGAGGGATGGATGGATGGGCTGGGGACGCTGTAGGACACAGCTATCCAACCTTGGCAACGTTAAGACCGGACTTAATGTTGCCAAGGTTGCACACCTCAACTATAGGGCATCTTTACCTGACATTCCAGGTGCAGGAGTCTGAATGGAGAAGGAAAACAAATCTTTGACCAGAAATTAAAAGGGATTTTATTTTGGGAGCAGGGGAAGCTCCTCCAGGGGAGGAGGAGGAGGAAAGCAAGGACGAAATATGAGATTTTATTATTATTATTATTATTATTTGCTAAAGAGGAATTGGCCAGCATGAATCCACACCAAACATGGATTACAGGGGACCTGAAACGAAACAATGGTGGCCATAAAACATGAGGAAAAAAAATGTAGCGTAGAACCAGGACTCACCTTCCCTTCGACCCCGATAATTTTAACTCCTCCCTGAACGCAAACCCTACCAACCCCGAGAAGGAGCATTGCTCAGAGTAGAAATCTTGGTTCCTTCAACCTTGAAGAGCAAACGAAAAGATCTGCGTTGGGCTGCTGTCTTCTTCTTTGCATTTGCAAATTAAGAGAACCTTTAGCTTGAGGACCAGGGGGTGAAGCTGCTGCCCTAGGCTGATTTTGGGTTGTAGAATGCCATCGTTGTGGGGTCCTTGGTGCTCTCTGATCATGGTTGTGTTCTTGCAGACATTTCATGACCCAGCTAGGTAACGTCATCAGTACTGGTGATGTAATCTAGTTTGAGCAATGAAAAGTCTTAAAGTAACCCCACTGTGATTTAAAAAAAAAATCAACCATTCAGGTATTCAGACAGCTGGAGACACATGAACAATAAATAAGAGCTTTATTATGAAGATTTTGCAAAAGGGAATTCTGCTCATGGGCAAAAGACATGGTTCCCAGGAAGGCTGGAGTTTATATACAGGTTCAAATATACAATCTTTGCCCCTTTCCGGGTTCACAATCTATCCAGTTACATATTCAGCTACGCAACACTCCTATTATTGTAGCATACCATCTGTTTCCTCGTCCTGTTTACCCGTTTCCATTTCCAGTCATCTCCATCGTTAACATGACACTGGACAGCGTGAGCCACCAAATATATAACCTTCATACAAAACAATAGAGAATTCTTACATAATATTCCAGTAAATTATCTTAGGTTAACACAGAGGTCAAAAATGGTGGCTTTATATTTTCACAGGTATAATTTTACATATCACACCCACCAAGCTCAGAGAGCACCAAGGACCCCTTATTTATTTCAACCTTGAGCTACAGATATTCTCCTTTATCCATGCCTACTCAGTCCGGAAGGCTTTTGTCCCAAGATCCAGCTGGCCAGACCCAGCACCTGCCTCCTTTCTGGACTCCGAGTCTTATGACAATTCACCACGGCCAACTCGCCGTGGTCAGCTCACCGCAGCCAACTTGCCACGGCCAACACACTGCAGGACAACTCACCAATGGCCAAACTGCCATGGGACAAGAGTTCTCAAAGAAATAGAATCATTAAAGAAAGGATGCCAAACTTTTAAAATATTTTTTTAAAGTTTATTTTAAATAATTCAGTTGAATTGTTAAGAGTGGAGCGGTGGCCTAGAAGTCGAGCTCTCGCCTCACAATCAGGAGGCTGTGTGTTCGATCCTAGGGAGAGGCAGATATGCACAATGAGAATGTATCGGCTGCAAACTCCTCATTGGTGACAGGAAGGGCATCCAGCCAGGTCCTTTCAGTTGCCCCAACTCTGCCCCATAAGGGATTACGGGATCGTTAAACGGGAAAAATATGAATTAAATTGAATTGTTAAATTGTCCTGGGGTGAGTGGCCGTGGGGAGTTGTCCCGTTCTGTCTGGAGCCAGGAGAGGGTCAGGCTGGGCCGGACCCCTTAGCCCAATTCCCGTCCTGTTCTTCGACGCCCGCTAGCGTGCGCTTCTCATCGACAGATTGGTGCCCCGTTGGGTCATCGCGGTTGCTTGTAAATAAGTTGCTTTTGCAGCATTTGTAAAAAAACTACCGGCTACCCGTAGTAACGGAGAAAAAATAATAATGATAATAATAATAATAACCAAAATGGATTATTATTATTCCGCTTTGCTAAACTTCGGACCGTGCCAAGCTTTGCAACCGAAGGGGGGGAAAATGTTTATATATATAGGCACAAAAACCAACGTGGCAAGAGTTGGGTTTAGGATTTGTCCCCGTGGCTCTTCAACCCTCCCCTTCCTGAGTGCCAATTCGGACTACTATCTTCTCCTGGTGTAGAGCATTTATGTAGGTGGATACTCCACATCCCATCCTGGTTTAGCCAGGCCACCCCATTGTCCGTGGAGAAAGTTGATCCTGGGTTTGGGGAAGCAGAGTTTCTTTCGTGGTCCTTTTGGAAAAAAAGATGTAAGAGGGGGGGAAAAAAATAAGATATTTTGGAAACGAGATACAGATCGCAGGTTTCTTCTGTCTTGCTGGTCTTTCGAGTTGAGGACCAGCCTAAAGGACTCCATGGGACGAGTAAAACCGTAGCAAAAGGCCGTCCCTTTCAGCCGAAAGAACTCTGACCGCTACCACCCCCAAGTAAAATGACCTTATTAGTGATGAATCTAGGCCAGAGAAGTTCGCCTTTTAAAAACAAAAAAAGACACCCTTAATTTCCTTTGAAAAGCTTCTACCTAGAGATTAACTCATCCGTGTTTGATTTTTCACACATGGTTCGTTCACACGGATAACAGTATTTATTATTTCTTCTTTAAATCCTTTGCACTGTTTAAGGCTATTTTGGTCCCCGACCTTTATGTTTCTAGCCAAATGCTTTGTCGTTTTTCCTTCCCTCCGCCAGAATTTTGGGAATTGCAAAAGGACTGTGCGTTGAATGTTACCTTGTTCGTATTTGTGCCCTAAAGAGATTAGATTGCTAAATATTACAGCCCACTCACCTTCTTGTTTTGACCTGTGACCAATTAATCAGTCACAATACAGCTGTGGAAGGGACCTTAGAGGTCTTCTAGTCCAACCCCCTACCCAAGCAGGAAACCTGATACCATTTCAGACACAGGGTTGTCCAGTCTTTTCTTAAAAACCTCCAGTGATGAAGGAAATCCACAACTTCTGGTGGCAGGCTGTCCCCCTGGTTAACTGTCCTTGTTTTTAGGAAGTTTCTCCTCAATTCCAGGTTGCTTCTCTCCTTGACTAGTTTCCATCCATGGTTTCTTGCCTTCAGGGGCTTTGGAGAATAAATTGACCCCCCTCACCTCTTCTTTGGGGCAGCCCCTCAGATACTGGAAGGCTGCTATCATGTCTCCCATCCAGGGATGGACAGATGGACGGATGGATGGGTAGATGAATGGTGGGATAATTGGATGAAAGGATGAATGGATGGTGGGATAATGGGAAGGAGAAATGGATGGTGGGATGGATGAAAAGATGGATGGATGGATGGATGGATGGATAGATGAATGGATGGGAAGGAGGAATGGATGATGGGATGGATGGATGGTGAAATGGTGGGATGGATAGATGGATGGTGGAATGCAGGAATAGATGGAAGGATGGATCTCCTATGTTCTCCCTCTTAAGGACCATTCATCCAGCTGGAAATGTCATCATTTTGGGGGCTTTAGGCAGTTTAGGAATCCTCCATTTCCACCCGAGGGTCTGTCTTCCTGCTTGCCTTTGTGGTCCTCCATCCATGCTTTCCTGCCGTTCTTCCCTTTCCAGGCTGAACGTCCTTGGCACCCATGTCCAGTGGTTAGATCTAGAGTTGTCAGCTCTGCTGAACTGTACACAGCCTTCGCTCTTCAGCTTCTGTTGTCTCTTCTCAGGCCACACCTGTTCCGCTGAAAGTTTGGCAGCTCCTTCTCTCTGCCTTCAGCATATTCTCCTCTTGACCCTTGGAGGCAGCTCAAAACACACACACACACAATAAAACAGCTGCCCCACCTTTATCCCAAGGGTCACCCATAGTGCATCTCCAGGGAATTCAGGAGCTCAGAAGGAGGAGATATGTATTTACCAACCAAGCACCTTAACAGAATAATAAAGAGTTGGAAGGGGCCTTGGAGGTCTTCTAGTCCAGCCCCTGCTCAAGCAGGAAACCCTATACCCTTTTAGACGAAGGGTTGTCTAATCTCGTCTGTAAAACCTCCAGGGTTGGAGAACTCATAACTTCCGAAGGACGTGTTGAGGTTCTTCTCTGCTTTGGAGTAGATACGTCTCCATTGCTGCAGGGGGGGTTCTTGGCCTAGAATTTGTGGGTCCCTCCCCCCCTATTCCTTCCCCCATCTCTCCACCCCTCCTACCTCCTTTGGAGAGTGGGGGAACATTCCTACGCAACTCTTCTGTCCTTCGGTGAGGAATTGCAGAAGATAAAAGAACAGAGTTGGAAGAGGTCCTGGAGGTCATCTAGCCCAACCCACCTGCTCAAGCAGGAGACCCTATAGTACCATTTTAGACACAGGGATGTCCAGGCCCTCCTTAAAAAGCCTCCAGTGTCCGCATTTTCCTGCTTAATAAGCACCTTACAACCAACCGAGAGATTCCGTAAGTTCATCTGTCCCATCTTCTCTTTTTTAAAAAATAATGATCAGTTGGCACCCAAAAGGGAGAGCCAGAGGATGATCCCGCCTCCCCAAACTGCAAGGGGATAATTTGGACTTTGTTCTTATTTTGGTGGGGGTTGGAAACCCCTTTAGATTTTGCACTATTCGAGCTGCCCCCTTCCCTGTCAATCCCACCCAGCCACCTATCTCCAGTAGCTCCATCAATTAGATAAAGTGACCAGGACGGCTTCCGTGCGTTCCTTGCTGGGAGAGGGCAGATACTCTGCAGATACTCTTCTGAGTAACCCGCAACTCTCCTGGTCCTGAAATTGTGTGCCAAGGGGGTGTTCTGCAGAAAACCGCTTTAAGAAACTTAAGTCTGCTCCCTCTTCCTCTTTTAGGTGTCAGGGTATCAGGGATGTTAGCTCTCAACCACCTGTTCTCCAGAAGTAAAAAGAGACCCCAGGCATGTAGTAAAACTCTACTCCTATCCTTAAGGGCAGAGGAAGAGATCAGCTGAGGAGGCCCAAGGATTTCTCCACCAGCCTCCTCTGTCCTTGCGACCAGGTGCCTGTTGGGACAAGGGTTAGTAAAACCACCTTATCCATGTGGGGTGCTCTCGGAGCTGGGTGGTTTTCTTGCAGACGTTTCGTGACCCAACTAGAGAATGTCATCAGTGCTAGAGGGAAGCGGGGTTTGCAGAGAGGAAGAGGAGGAGAAGGAGGAAGGGGAGGAGGAGGAAGGGGAGGAGAAGGAAGGAGAAGGAGGAGAAAGACTGGGTGGTCCTTGGTGCTCTCTGAACTTGGTTGTTTTCTTGTAGACATTGCATGACCCAACTGGGGAACATTATCAGTGCTAGAGGGAAGTGGGGTTTGCAGAGAGGAAGAGGAGGAAGGGGGGAGAAGGAAGGAGAAGGAGGAAGAGGACTGTGGGGTCCTTGGTGCTCTCCGAGCTTGGTTGTTTTCTTGCAGACGTTTCACGACCCAACTAGGGAACATCATCAGTGCTAACAAGTGTGCAATTCGTGCTGTTGTTATTATTTTAAATTCCAGGAACACATCCCCTCCATCAGTCGACGCCCAGATAAGCAGGGATTACTTCCAGACAAACAATCAAGCAGAAAACAATACCCTCATCAAGGTACTACCAAACTATACACCACTAAGTAAATAAACTGGGATCCTTGGTGCTTCTTGAGCTGCGTTGTGTTCTTGCAGACATTTCATTGCGCATCTCGCTGACATGACCAGTACTAGAACGGAGTGGGGATTGTTCTCTGTTTACCCCAATCAAGGAACTGTCAGTTCAGTAAACAGCCTAACCATGGAAACACCAAGAAGAGAACAGCACTCCCACAAAAAAGGAGAAGCCACTAATATATAAAAAGAGAGTAAACGCCACTTCCTTTCGCCCTGATGATGGAACATAGTTTGGTAATGAAATGTCTGTAAGGAAACAAGGAAACAAGTCTGTAAGGAGCACCAAGGACTCCGTAATTGTCGCCTCCTCCTCCCTCCTCCTCCTCCTCCTCCTCCTCCTCCCTCCTCCTCCTCCTCCTCCTCCTCCTCCTCCTCCTCCTCCTCTCCCTTCTAGCACTTACAATGGTACCTAGTTTGGTCATGAAACATTTGCTAAGCACTAAACTAAGTCCCAAGGACCCCATCGTCATCATTGTCTTCCTCCTCCTCCTCCTCCTCTTCCTTCTGAAACTCTCCTGGCTTCTGGCACTGATTTTATTACCTAGCTGGGTCATGAAATGCCTGCAGGAAAACCGCAAAGCTCAGCGAGCGCCAAGGAGCCCCCACCGTTGGAAGCCCTAAGCTGCCGATTTCCTCTCCTGTTGGTCCTTCTTGCCATGCCTGACTTGGGTGTGCGTGAAACAGGCAAAGAAAGGGAAGAATCCCAACAGGGAACTCGGTTTGGTTTGGGGATAATCAGCCTGCTTGAAACTCTTGAGACCTTGGCCCTATCGCTTCCCTCTCAAACTGACTCATAAATTGGGAAGGGGGGAAACGCTTTGTTCTGGCTAATCCCCCTCCTCTCCCAGTAAAGCCAGCTCTTGTTTTCTAGCAAAGCCCAGTCTCATTTATTTTATTTTTTTGGCTTCCCCCAGTCTGAGCAACGTAGCACAGTCCTTTCTCCCATCACGTAGATGACTGCCTTAAACCAATCTGTTGGGTTGTTGGGTTTTTTTAAAATTATTATTCTTATAATTTACCGTCAAGTTTACACGTTAATTTATTTTTACACTTGTGGTTTTTGGAAGACATGTTACATGTATAATATTTTGATTTTTTAACATTTCCATTGCAGTATTTATCATTGTTAACTGGTTGTGTGTAGTGTTGACAGAATTAATATTAAAAGGCATACATATGAAACCAAAACCGGCTGGTCTCCGTGTGTGAAAACCTCCCGTCTCTGGAAAAGGGAAGGAAAGAATTCTGTTTTCTCAAAGCAGTAAGAAACGAAAATAGAGCAACAAAGGAGTGTGTCTGTGTGTGTGAGAGAGTGATAGAGAGGGAGAGTCAGAAAAACACTCACAAAACATCACTTTTTTCAATGCTGTTTTAACTTTGAATGGTCACTAACTTAGAGTTGGAAGGGACCTTGGAAGACATCTATTCCAACCCCCACATCCAAGCAGGAGACCCTACACCATTTCCAACAAATGGCAGTCCAGTCTCTTCTTGAAAGCCTTCAGTGATGAAGCTTCCACAATTTCTGAAGGCAACTTCTGTTCCATTGGTGGATCGTTCTCCCTGTCAGAAAATTCCTCCTTATTTCCAGGTTGAATCTCTCTTTGATCAGTTTCCATCCATTATTCCTTGTCTGGCCTTCAGGGTCTTTGGAGAATAGCTTGACTCCCTTCCTCCTCTCTGGGGCAGCCCCTCAAATATTGGAAGATTCTCTCCTGTCTCCTCTGGTCCTTCTCTTCACCAGACTAGCCAGGCCCAGTTCCTGAAACCATTCATCATATGTTTGAGCCTCCAGTCCCCTCATCATCCTAGTTGCTCTTCTCTGCACTCTTTCTAGTTCAAATTTGACAGCTTTAAGACTTGTGGACTTCAACTCCCAGAATTCCTCCTCCAGTCATGTTAGCTCAGGAATGCTGGGAGTTGAAGTCCACAAGTCTTAAAGCTGTCAAGTTTGAAGACCGTTGTGATAGATGATGGATGGTTGGATGGATGGATGAGGAGATGATAGATAGATAGATAGATAGATAGATAGATAGATAGATAGATGATAAATCAGGGGTCTTCAAACTAGACAGCTTTAAGCCTTGTGGACTTCAACTCCCAGAATTCCTCCTCCAGTCATGTAAGCTCAGTAATTCTGGGAGTTGAAGTCCACAAATCTTAAACTTGCCAAATTTGAAGACCCTTGTTCTAGAGTCTCAACGTATTTTTTCTAGTGTGGTGACCAAAACTGGATACAGGATTCTAGGTGTGGTCTTACTAAGGCTTTATGTGAACAAACTATAAGTCGAGGATTGCCGCTACTCCATGACAAATCCCACACTTGCTAGCCACAGCGATCCATAGGCAACCAGACTGGCTCCGTGGAGATTATTCAGACCTAGAGGTTCACGCACTTTTTTTCCACACCCAAATTCAGGAATAATGGACTGGTGTCTTTTTCATGCTGGGGAGCAAATGAGAAGCCCTCAGGGCTTCAAAAAAGAAGCTTCAAAAAAAAAAACAAAGTCCCGTTGCCTCCTGAAAAACAAAAACCACCTTTGGGACATGCTGGCTGAGGACTTCTGGGAGTGGAAGTCCACACACCTTCAAGCTACCAAGGTTACCGATACCCCTGCCTTGGCCCTTGGGCCCCAGGTGGATGGGTTTCCCTGGCCCACCTGCCCATTTCTGCCCTTCCAACTGTGACATCACGTGTGATGCCAAGGCTGACTGTTGGGAAGAGCTGTGGCCTTCAAGGGGAAAAAGAAAAGTCTTAATTTTGCTCCCCTTCCTGGCATGACGAGCACCACCTCCCCTTTTCCCAGCATCCTTAGGGAGAGAAATAGCCCCCAGAGGCTGTGGTCCCAAGATCCCACGCCAAAGAAGTGTCCTTCACTCCCTCTCCTTGCACGGACGACCTTTCTGAAGAGCTGAATCCAGATCCATCCCAAGATGTTCCTCTTTGCCACCAAAACCAAGACCCCCATCAGCACCTACACCGACTCCTACCGGCCTCCGAACACCATGAAGAAGGCCTTTGAGGAAGCGCCGATGACCCTCTGGAGCGAGAATAAGTTTGTGACCCAGGTAAGTCTTCACGGGGACTGGGAGGCCAGGGAGTTGTGGTCCCACCACATCTGGAGAAGGGTGACCCTTTGAGAAGGTAGCAGGAGGATCCCTGAGGGGGAGGAACGCAACCTGAGGCATCAGGGAAGGCCACTGGGTCAGTCTAAGGTCATCGAGCTCAGGCGGTCAGCCAGGTTTCTCGGATGCTCCCTGTCCTGGCCAACACTGAATATATGGAGGGCACCACAAATGGTCGTGGGGTGGGGTCCTTGGTGCTCTCTGAGCTGGGTTGTTTTCTTGCAGACATTTTATTACCCAGCTAGGTAACAGCATCTATCCTGGAAGGTGATGTTACCAAGCTGTGTCATGAAACAGCTGCAAGGAAACGACCGAGTTCAGAGAATACCATGGACCTCACAGTCCTCCTCCTCCTCTCCCTTTTAGCACTGATGATGTTCCCTAGTTGGGTCATGAAATGTCTGTAAGAAAACCACCAAACTCAGAGAGCACCAAGACCCCACAGTCCAACCCTGAACTATGAATCTTCTCTTTTACTTAAATCAGAATTATTAAGGCACTTCATCCTATTGAACCTTGAATACACTGCAGTTTGTGGGACTGAAGTCCAGCATGTATTGATCGTGCTGTCTGGGAAACGTGACTCAGGTCAGTTGGCACAACATCTGCTCCAGTTTCTCAGAAACAGCCCTCCCAGCCCAAGATCAGAAGGAAAGTATCTCTTGTGACAAAAATGGGCTGGAAAATCCATCCGGTGGTATATCAGAGTTGCGCTGCGCTGCTGGATGAAGCAAAGCTGCCTGCATCAGCGCTGTACAGATGCTCCTCGACTTAGGACCACAATTCAGTCCAAATTTTCCAAAACTGCTAAATGGGACAAAATCAGAGTAGAGCTGGAAGGGACCTTGGAGGTCTACTAGTCCAACCCCCTGCTCAAACAGACCCTATACCATTCTTGTTCTGACCCAAACCTTGTTCCAAGGAAACAAACACAAAACGGAGATAACGGCAAAATATTTTAATGATTCTTTACGAATCCCATTCCTTCACGGTTAAAAGGCTGTTTCAGACTCATTGTCTCTGATAAGAACGAGCCTTGCCAAGGTGGTGCAAGTTGCCAAGAACACTAGATAAAGTTACTAAGAAATAGTTCAAACACAAAGAGTCTCCAATCACAAACTAAGAGTCCAAACATCCACAAGGCTTGAATGCAAAAAACTTCTTTGCTTCCTGCAAAGAACTCCGGTTTCTCAGCTGGCTTTTATCTCTCAAGGGAGGGGCCATTCCCTTGCAGCCTTACTCCCGAGTCACCCGTGCTGCTGCATCTGCTCGAAGGAAAGAGCAGCTCTGCGCACGCACGCATACTGAGCACAGGCTCCTCGGGGGCCTCTTCCTCACTGCTGCCAGCCTCCACCATCTCCAAAGGCAGCACTCCACTCCCTGATGGTCCTGACCCCATCCCTGCATCCCAGGCAGGCCCCTCATCTGAGTCCTCGCTCTCCAAAACCTCAGCCATTCACACCTGCTTCCAGCAAACCACAACAATTCCGGACGAATGACTGTGCCATCTCTTCTTAAAAAGCTCCAGTGTTGGAGCGCCAGGGAACTTTTCCAACTCAAGAGTGTCAGGAAGACAAAAAAAAGTAAATAGGGCAGCCACAAACCATACAATTAAAACCATGCCTTTGCGGGGGGGGTGGGGGCGGGCATGTATTGTGAGTGTAGGGTATACAAAAAGAAAGCAAAGCTTTGGTGGCGTGGAAGAAGCCACCATTTGACTTTGGGGGGCTCCCTCTACTCTCCTGCGGATACACACACACACACACACACACAGAGAGAGAGAGAGACAGAGACAGACAGACAGACAGACAGACAGACCTGGAATCCCAGTGCATCAGGATTCATCATTTCCGGGGAAAAGCAATCACCTTTCCAGAAAGAAATAACTATAAGAAGATTGTGTGAATTGGCTTGAAGGCAATGATCTCTCTGTTCCCAAGTCATCCTGGTGAAACACCGCCCTCTATTGGCCAGAATGGGCATCTCAGCCTTCCCCAACAGGGGCAACTGGATGTTGAATTGGGGGCTATATATAGTTGGCCCAATTCCCCCCACCTCCACCCGAAGGCTGGCCTGTGTAAGCAAGATTAATTTTGGACAGAGGTGGCCCAGGTCTATCGTGATCATTCCAAAGAAAAACCTGAAATTATAGGATACAGGAAAAAAAATATCTGCTCTTTGTGGGTTTTGCACATCATCGGCTTGCGACGCACACAGGTGAGAGAGAAGAAACGAAATGAGAGGGCCAACGCAGATAGATAGATGATAGATAGATAGATAGATAGATAGATAGATAGATAGATAGATAGATAGATAGATAGATAGATGATAGATAGATAGATTTATTGTCATTGTACTCAGAACCTGGGAACAACGAAATAAGGTGCTCTTTCACAACATACAACTGAACAACACCAAAAGACATATACAAAATAACAATGTAAAACAAATTAAAACAAATAACAGTTAAAAACTATACAACCAGGATATATATATGTTAAGACCACCAGATTCATAACTCTGCATTTAACCTGATCACAGCACTTGGGTAAAAGCTATATTTAAATCTACTTGTCCTGACTTTCAGCACTACGCAGAGCTAACAATGTTGGACAAGCAAAGATCAAACCCCTCCGTGGAGTGGAGTTAGGTCCATGGTCTCTGCCTCCCAGCAGTTGGGTCCTTAATTCAGATGGAAGAGGTTAATATTGGGATCATGAAACGTCTGCAAACAAACCACCAAACTCAAGAGAGGAGTAAGGACCCGCCGTCCTCCTCTTCCTCCCCCTCCTCCTTTCCTCCCCCTCCTCTCCCTCCTCCCCCTCCTCCTCCCCTCTGCAAACTACACTTCCTTGTAGTCCTGCTGAAGTTACCTCGTTGGGTAATGAAACTTCTGCAAGAAAACCACCAAGCTCAGAGAGCATCAAGGACCCCAACATTGTTTCCTCCTCCTCCTCCTCTTCCCGTCTCCCCCCTCCTTCTCCTCCTTCTCCCTCTCCTCCTCTCTGCAAACCACACTGCTTGTAGCACTGATAAAGTTACATAGTTGGGTAATGAAACGTCTGCAAAAAAGAACAGTCAAACTCAGGGAGCACCAAGGACCCCACATTCCTCCTCCCTTCTCTTCCTCCTCCCCCTCCTCTTCCTCCCCCTCTCTGCAAACCACACTTCCTGGCAGCACTGTTGTTGTTTTTTCACTTTATTGTCATTGCAACTCGTACAACAAAATTAAATACCATCTTCAGTGTACATTATGACTGAAAATAAACACAAACACACATCCTTCGCCTTCTGTGCATTGAAGTTGAAGTTATCTGATTAATGATGAAAACGTCTGCAAGAAAAGCAACCAAGCTCAGAGAGCATTAAGGATCACACAGCCATTTTCTCCTCCTCCCCTCCCTCCTCCTCCTCCTCCTCCTCTCCACAATTCCCCCTCCCTTCTAGCACTGATGCTGTTACCTAGTTGGGTCATGAAATGTCTACAAGAGAGAACACATGTTCTTCAATGCAGTCTTCTGGGACGAGATCTTTGGCATCCAACAGTGGACCTGCCATGAGATGGACAGTCTGGAAGTGGGCATGGGAAGGAGGTTGACCCGAGGCCCAGCTCCCACAACAGGTTATTTTAACAGGTTATTTTCTCCTTGAACTAGTCAAAACAAATGCAGGTAGCCCTTAACTTACTCTTTGGATTTACAACAAACTTCAGAAAGACAGTGGTGGGATTCAATTTTTTTTATTACTGGTTCTGTGGGTGTGGCTTATTTGGTGGGCGTGGCTTGACGGCGATGTGATTGGGTGGGCGTTGCTTGGTGGTGATGTGACTGGGTGGGCATGGCTTGGTGGTCATGTGACTGGGTGGGCATGGCTTTGTGGTGATGTAATTGGGTGGGCGTGGCTTGGTAGTCATGTGACTGGATGGGCGTTGCTTGGTGGTCATGTGACTGGGTGGGCATGGCTTGGTAGTCATGTGACTGGGTGGGCATGGCTTGTGGTGATGTAATTGGGTGGGCGTGGCTTGGTGGTCATGTGACTGGGTGGGCATGGCTTGTGGTGATGTAATTGGGTGGGCGTGGCTTGGTAGTCATGTGACTGGGTGGGCGTTGCTTGGTCATGTGACTGGGTGGGCATGGCTTTGTGGTGATGTGATTGGGTGGGCGTGGCCAACTTGGCGTCACTCACGTCAAGGGATGCCTTACCTGGCCTCAAAGAGATACAATTTCCCTCTCTGTTTATTTACTATTACTGAACATCCAAAATACACTGTTTAATCCTATGTATATATGCCATATGTGTACATACATATCACATAGTATAGCGTGTGTAAAGGCACACAAAAAGATACATTATATCTACTATATATACTGTATGCGTATGTACACACACACATATACACACACACACACAGAGCTCTGCTAAAACTGTACACATTCAACCTCACTGCGTTTGGAAAAACACACCCAGAAAGCCATTGTAAAATGTTGTGCTGCCCTCATAGTCCCATGAGCAAATTTTGACCACCTGTTCACAATTACTGCCCCCCCCCACCCAAAAAAACCCCACCCATTCCAGAGAACGGGTTCACACTTATGACATAATTCAGACTTACAATCGTGGGATTTGTTATAATGGCCAAGCTAAAAATGATTGTAAAACCAGTCTGGTCAGGTGAGTATCTTCTGATTCTCACGACTTACCACCAAAATTTCAGTCCCAGTTCAGTCCCAAACAATTACACTGTTTAATCCAGGGGTCTCCAACCTGGGCAACTTTAAGACTTGTGCCTGGGCCTCTCTCTCTCTCTCTCTCTGCCACCTCCATTTTCTCTTCCCCCTTCCTCCCAGGTTGCCCTGATGCTGAGACCCTGACTCCCATTCATCCTCCTTCCTCCTCTAATTCAGCTCCTGGAGGGGCCAATGGTCGACAATTTCTCTTTATCA